CACTGCAGCGCTTATTATGGTGGGAGGTTAGGTTAGTAACTGTCGAAATGACCATACAAAAGAATCAAACTGCTTCACATTTTTATAACTCATTGATTCGCTACTTGTTTACTATAACATCTTCGTTTCTAACAGCAGTGAACAATCGTCCTTCTGAACATGACATTTTAACGATTACATCTGTCAGTGCCAATTGACGGTGGGACAAAAAGAACCATCGAAATGAAGCAAAATAAAAAAAACTTGTGACGAAAACTCAAGAAATAAGTACGCTTATTCAAGATAAGTCACATACCGTATCAATTATATGCTTTTTCAACTCCAACGCGGCCGTTGCTGAAGCGGGATCGATGAATTCGACGAAAGCAAACGTTCCTTTATTACTGTCTATAGTAACCTTCGAAACAGGACCGAACCGATTTTGAAAGTATTCGGTCACCAAGTTCTTGTTCAGGCTGAAAGGTTTAAATCCGCACAAAAAAATCGTCTTTAAGTGCGGATCCACCTGTGCGAATTTGCGCTTCTGCGCCCGCAAATGCCGCTTGCCATTTAAATGCTGACGCTTAGTTTCCGCCGATGTAAAGCAAACCGAACAAAGTTCGCAGAAGTTCATGCTTCACTTAAATTACGCGTTTTGGCAGCACTGGCCTTGACTCTGGCGTCGTCGATGATCTCCTGCTTCAGGCGAGATGAAGCGTGACCTGTTCGTCTATATTCGGATCGATCGTGCAAGTATTCTTCAGTACAAGACTGAACAAACTCCGGGTCGTAATACCTGAAATCACGACAACAAATATCGGAAGTACTGCAATCAACCAACATTTAACTTACAACTTTAGCGATTTTGCAGCAACTACTAACACTACCACTACCGATGTTTCAGTTTTTATATCGCCGTAAGGAGATTTGCTGTGCCATTTTTGCGGCATATGGCTAAATTAATGACATATGGGCGGTCGGCAGTGGCCAGCACAACCAGTCATCCAAGATACTCCGAAGAAACTCAATGAAACAGAGAAATATCGCTAGCGGTACATCATCAAAGCAAACTGATATATTCTGTTAATCAGCATGGCTTGTAAGGAAGGCAACCACATTTTAAATGAGCGGAACAGACTCGCTGAATGAACAGCGACTGGCTCATCTAATTCAACACCATATACAATGGTCCGTCCATATGGGATTGATAAGAAATTCTATTTTGTGTGCAATGTCATCTGTAGTGCAATTCCATAGCAAGCTTCGCCGACGATCATGCGCTGTGTTACGATGTTTCGAAAAGGCATATGAGGGCGAGACAGCTCATGTGAATAGGGAAAAACAATGCCAATAAGCATAATTCCACAAAATTGTTTGTAAGAAGTTATTGCACTGCCCCTTTCATATGTCAGAAGAGCTCAGTAGGAAGTGAATCGGTGTCACAGTAGGAAAAATTAGAGAATTAAGATGTGGATCTGACCTTTATATTTCATTCTTCCAAGGTAAATAAATGAGTACCACTTCTTGAAAAGGAAACACACGAGAATAAACCAGATACAATCTGCAAGGTGTACCAATATATAGCCTTAAAAACCACATTGTATCATTGGCTGAAGGCATTGTAACACAAATGTAGCATAGGCTCAATGAAAGAAGGTCATCATATACATGTCATCATATACGTCTTGATCAAAGCATTCTCACCTATGACTATGGATCTGTCATTACTTATCACATGCTGATAGGTGGTGTTCGAAAGATCGATGGCGCAAATAGATCATGACAGAACCTATGGCTCAGCCATGACAGTTTACAGCATTTCCTTGGCTGATACATGCTATCGGTTGACAGTTACTGACAATATCCTCCGTACCGCCTTCAGAGGAACAGCAATGGGCTGACAATGGCAGATTATCGTGTATTATTTTCACATGATGGACAGTGTGAATCAGTCACGACACTTTCAGGTGTACAGCTTCTATAACAGCGAGCATCCATATGATGGATAGCACTGGTCGGTCAGGAAAGCGCCGAATGATATGGAGACATCGTATAAAAATGACACTATTGTGAGTATGCTGTGTAAATGGTTATGCCTATAAACTTGTCTGCCTATAGTGATGTTTTGTAATCTCCAAAAGACAGCTAATCTTCGAGCAGCTGGCGGGATCGACCCTCACCATAGCAACCCCGTTTGACGGTCTGCTGATGATTTGTAAATGAAACTGACATTCCAACGCTTAAAAGTTTTTTTCTTCCTTTCCTAGAAGGGCACTTAATCAGGCGCGGCTCCATGGTACGGACCTCGTATGGTGAATCGATTAACTCCTGTCAGCTTGTTTGTTAGAACAATGCTGACCTGCTCGTAAGAAATAATGTTTCATGAACCGGGAACCAATACGTTTAACAAGCAAAATGAAAACACAGCTCATATGTAAGGAAAATATTCATAAGCCTCATTTTATTAAACAATCCATATTCTGACAGATCTGTTTCGATGACCGCTCATCCTTACAGGTCGTGGAGGCAAACATGTCAGACACAATCTTCAGTTTCCGATCCTGCGCCAGCGCTTTAGCTTCAAATCGAGCATGGAGCAGAGCCTGTCGAGACACTGGCTTCAGAGACATCAGCAGGTCAACTGGACAAGTATGATCTGTTTCACCTTCCTTTCTGGAGGCATTCACAAGACGTGCCCAAACCATCCCAGCTGTGACTTAATCTGAACAAGCAGCGGTTGTACAGCAAAGCTCGATCAGATATCTTAACTCTGAAACACGTCGAGACGCATAAATTCATTCGTCGCAGCAAGCCCATTTCAGCCACCTGTAGGCGGAATCGAAGTTTTGCAATCATGATCATGACTCATGATCATGGGTGAGCGTGGGAATGAAGATCGACTTGAACTCGGTTTCGTCTTAGACTTAGCTCTGCCTTACAACAGTTCAGGTAAGTTCATGCAGAATGCGGTTGGCCATTCCAACTCACTTCTCGATCTCTTCCTTCCATTTATCAGCACCAGTAAACAGGGTGCATGAACTTCTCCACCTGTTCCGCCGCTTCTCTATTTCTTTGCAGCGCATAGCGGGCAATAGAACAACAAACTAATAGGTTTCATATTTTAGACACGTTTACACTCACGCATACCATGTCGTGTTCAGCCGCAAACCCATTTAGAGAACGCAGAGATCAGTTTTAGAACATGCCAATAAAACAAGGTCATCTCAAACAGCAAACTTCTCGTCTAAACATCTCCTACGCTCGTCGCGTTGGCTGAGCTTGACAATCGTATCCGTGTAAAACTCAAAGGAGATGAGACAGAACGCAGCCTTCGCACCAGTGCCTACTTTGAAAAGTCTCGACTTAACTCCGATTACTCTGATGCAGCACCTGATGTCAACACAGAATAGCTGGATAGCTCGTAGCAGCTGGTCATCGACTCCATACGTCTACGGGCACGTCCACAGTTTGTGAGGATCTCAAGGAAAACAAAGCATATGTAAAGCGAATGAGCGAACTCGCCAAATTTCTCAGCAATCCCGTGTAAAACGATGATTCGGAAAAAGGTGCTTCGGGTAGAACGACGCAATAATGCTCGGATTGGATCTAAGTCAGTTATTCTGAGGCACCTCATCTCAACATCTTGCAGTATACTTTTTTTCCGGGAAGCTCAACAAGGTAACGCCCCGATAGCTAAAGCACTCCCTATCATCGCCATTCTCCAACAGGGTACTACAGCCACGGTTCTTCAGCCCACTAGTCTCCTCCCCGTAGCCTCTGCAGTTTGACAGACGCCTGTCAACCGCAGTATAATTTGTTCGCCTAACGCATCGATTAAGGCAACATAGAAACTCTTCAAACTTATTACAGGTTCAGAGACTTCATACACTGAAAAACTAATATCCATTACCTGCTGCTTTTTAGGCCAGTCTTCAGTTCTAGTTGCTCGGGTTAATGAATTCTTTAAATAACTCCCTCTATCGCCAAAGTATGCCCTCTTCCTTGGTAAGAAGGCGTCTAGACTTGTCTTTCGTGACTCTCAGACTGTCCTTCTTTCCATCTCGGAGGCGGCAGAATACCTGGTTTGCTTCTGGAAATTCGACCCCAGCACCAAATCGAAATTTTTCCAGGTTTCGCCTTGGCCACTGCTTTTGCTGCCTCCTCGCACGTTTCTTCTGATCACATTCAAGATGAAAGTTCTTTGTTTACAAACCACCTCTTGAATGCAGCCCTCTTTTTGCTAACAGCACTTTGTTTACCAAAGTCCCTTAACACGCATTAAGGAGCAGGAAACGTGCAATAGCACGGTATAATCCACTTAGGTAGAACTGTGTTCATTAATAAAATTTATGGCGTTCGAAGCTCACCTTGTGATGCTGCTGCTACGCACATAACAAGCGCCAGTTTCCGAAACATAACAAGCGCCAGTTTCCATCACTGCCAGTAAGTAAAATGTTTGCATTGTCACTAAAACTATGCAAGATGCGCTGAAAGTGCTAAAATATTATGAAACGAAAGCCCTTTAAGTTCTATGATCAGTGAGTGGCAACACAGTACCGTGCAACCTGGTGAAGTGGAATTATGTACGTTTAACCTTTCTGATAATTTTATCTTCAAACTACTATCTTACAGTTTACAACACTCACTGTATTCTTGTTTCCATTTCTTCACATCTCTAAGCTCAGAAGCAGAATTCACTTATCAATTTATGGCAAACAAAAGACTGTTCATTCTATCACTCAACAGTGTATATAGCACGCAGCGTTTGCAACAAGAATTTGTTACAAAAATATTGTCCTTAGGAATAAGTGTGCACCATAGTGCAGGCAAAAGGAATGCATGCTATATGGTGCACCTGTTGAAACAGTGCTACTGAATATCCATGACAGTTTTTTATGATATCTTTCCATTAAGACATCTGGGGGCTTAGGAAGATGAAACTGAGCTGCCGCACCCTTACACACTTCAATTTTAATTTCTTTAAATATTTAAGGCTGCAGACTTGTACAAAAGCATATTTTCAACTGAGAATAATTTAATGTGGCGTAGTTACTTTTCTATCAATGTACAGGTGCTTACTTTTCTAAAGTAATAATCAACCCCTCCCAAACGTAGATTGGCCGAAAGGACAACAGCCATGGAAATGTCAGTGCGATGTTATGATCCAAGCAAAAGGTGCTGCGTAATGGGCCGTTCTCGCGTTTATCGATACGTGCACGTCCTCTGCTGACACAGAGCACTCTACATTATGGAATGATCACCCTAGCATACCAAACTTAAACAAAGCGATAAACCTGAATACTGTGAACACAAAAAATATTTGACTCCATCTGACCAGCGGATTCAAACATTTTCTATTTTCATCCTTGGGTCGCGTAAGAAATCCAATCAGCTTAAACGAATCGAAAAAGTAATGAATAAAAAAATTCTATCCTTCATTTCCACTGTAGCTAAGAAGAAACTTCTACTGGGTAACTCTACCTCACCAGCAAGCATTACCCTATATATGAAATACATGCAGGCGAATTTGTGATATTTCAGCACCCGCAGAGTATGGATGATGCTGACTTACTATAGCATTGCCAGCTATATTTCAGCAGCAGTTACTTCTGTTTTATGGCGTTATGCCCGGCATAAACAATCCCAGTCGTCTAGGAACATTGGCGCAATGCAATAACGTCGCGTATAAACCGTATATCACTTCAGATGCCTACCGAATACGACTCGAATCACCGGTTATTCGTTTACAATACTTGACTCGAGTCAAATCAGACATAACAATGGAAAGAAGCTTCAAGCGTTTGGATATGCATTTGGACAGATATTTAGGGCGGACTGATCATTACACTGGTATTTACCAAAAAAGCAAAGGATCACAACTTGTGCAGGCTGATAACTCTCAGTACCTTGTGTAGGTGAGGTCACATTTAATTTTGCCCCGATTTCTGCCAGAATTGGTCATTTATACAGACCTGGTCGTCATCTAATGCCGAACGAAAGACAACACCGCATAAGCTGCTTGTTTTTGCTGAACACCTTCAAACTATGCTAATCAAATTCATAAGTGCACACAGCCGTATCGCCTACCGATCAAGTCCTTTTCCTAGAATAAACTCGAATAACTGAGTGAACAAAAGTGCCTTACTTTTAGATTCTGTTAGAATCAATTGGATTTATGTTCAGGACGACGAAAAGCCATTATTTACCATTATTTTGTGTCATGAAAATATCATGGTATACTGGAAAAAAAATTGTGCTGCCTGAGTGAATAAACTTATTTGCTTCGATTAAGTTCAAGAGGATACGTGGCGTCTATAGTAGAGCAGAACATTCAATTTTGCACCAGTCGACTTTATCAGAATCAGACCATGTCGTTCAAGAAATAAATGACGTTTGAACACAGTAGTAAAACCTATCGTTCAGCTCGCAATTCCGAAATTGGCAGGTCGAAATCAACTGGAGCCGAATATTTAGGAGCTGTCTATCAATTTAAATAACGTTCTGTTTCGAAGCTGTTTTGATTTAGTTTAACTGCCATGCCACTGTAAAATCTGGAATCCTTTCTACGTTTAAATAAACAAAACCATTATGAAAAAAACCTAATGATGAAACAAATCACGATTACCAATTCAGAAGACAGGCATTCAATTTGTCCCGCAGTTTATTACAGTGATGGATCTTAATTCCACAGAGTTTCAAGCAGTGACTCAACTCTTTGTATTCCAGGTGACACTTTTCTTTGGCGACTTTATCTTGTACACGTTTAGGGATTACTACGTCTCTTTCCACGTGTCTCAGAGTTTTGTCTTCTGGATCTCCTGAATAAAAGGAATAACACATTAGTGGTAAGCAGCCTTACTGCGCTTACCGCGGTAGATTCCGTCTTGATTCTTTTGACTTCCTGCTTTAAAACCGTTCATTCTGAAACAATATTAGTAAGCAACACCAAATCCAGGAAAAAACAGCAATTTTTCGCTAAAGAAATATAACCATTTGGCTACTTGCTTGCGGTAAATGACCCATAAATCTGATTTTCAGTTCCGCAGAATGACAAAAATGCATGAGCCAATAAACAAGTACGAAAAAAATACCAACATGAGGTATTGAAAACACTGAAAGGCCCATAACTACACATGGCACCAGGATATATTATTTTAGGAATCACAACTTTCACGATAATCAGACTTGGTCAGTACATGATATAAGCGTTTTTCGATGGTGCCAGATTTCTGGCTACAGCGAACCGCGGGGCTATCGACAGATCACCACTGACAGTCTACAAACCGCAACTTTTAAAATCCACGGCGACCCAAAATATAAATAGAACGGAACTGTAAACCGAATAATATAGGAAGCTATGAAAAGTACGGGTGAAAAAGGATGCTAGGAAACAGTTTGCGGATGATGTGGCAGCGAGGTTCAGCAGAATACTCAGCAAAGTCTTAGATGCGAGATATTTAGGCTAGTCATCACTGTCTCACGATCATTCACTGAATCAAAGATGCTTTGAATAACGACTGGCGAGAAAAACTGAATACCTTTCTTGAAAGCGGAAGATCAAGAGTCGAAACAGTAAAGAAAGTTCATTTGGCACTGCTTGAGAAATTATTCTGGTCTATTTATGTGCTGGGCACACCGAAACTCATCAAATAACGCCATGTGCAGAAACGCTACGACGAAGGGCACTGGAATAATTTAGACAGAAAGTAAATTCTCACTACAGTGCGGTGAACAAGGTTTTCAGACACCAATGGGGCGAAAAATAAACACCATTCGAACTGTAAAGAATTATGAGGGAAACTTCTAGTGAAAAATATAACCTCCATAGATAAAAAAACACTTCGAAGATCTAACTCAAATATCTGCATATCCTAGCGTTTATTGAAGTGGCTTTCTGTCTTAGTGCAGAAATGTTCTCAGAGGTTAAACACGACGTTGCAAAAGACAAAATCCAATCTGATCTGTTAAATGTCTTCAATTACGATGGAATCCTGTAGCTGATTCGTGTATGTTAAGTTGCGTGGTGTTCTGAAAAAGTGCAGAAGCAAAGGTAGTCCGTGGTCGCAATCCTTACATTCATTAAAAGAAATCAGAGAAACTGCTGCTCCTACCTAGGTGGCTCTTTGCGTGGTCTATCGGTTGAAAATGCGATACCACGCAAGGTCAACAAGAGCATTCACGAAGAACAATGTGGCTTATATCCCGGTTGAACAGATTTTGACTCTTCGCAAAGTATGCGACAAATGCAGCAAGCATACGAAGGAAGTTTCGAGAGTCATATAGAAAACAAAATGCAAGAGGAAGAATCTGAGGTTAGGCAGCACAGTTAAACTCAGTTATAATCAGCGCCTAGCATCGTCGTGTAGCAGAACCGAGAGGATAAAGCTTACCCCATAGGCGACGACCGGGACCGTTGAAGAAACACCTAAACGCCTGCTACCCATCGACTGGAAATAAGTACTAGTCCCTGAAAACGAATGAATGAAAAAATGAGAGAACCCATGAATGAATAGTTTAATATTGCTATGAGGCAAACTTTAGAGTCATAAGTTTCTGCCTTGATAAGCTTTCCGTACCGGCCTATGAGGCAACTTCAGGTACTTATTCAATTCAATTCTGAACCTACTACATACACTTCAGAGATTCGATAAACAACTTAGCAAATGCCTTGAACAGAAGACAGCGTTCTGCCTCCTGCATAACTCCAGTGATGTCAAGGGTCCAGGTAACACATATATTCAAGGAATTAATTAAAAAAACATTAAAAATGACATTTCATTCATCACAAAGAGCAACAGAAGTTTTAAGCTACTTCGTTTCGTTGTTCAAAAGTAAACCTTAATAATGGACAGATATGCTTCAGAACAAGCATGAACTGCAGGTTCTTGCGTCAAACTCAGGTAAGTACTACTACACTGATTACATTTAAGAATGCTTATTTTTAATAAACACCAACGAAATTAATAATCACCTACGCTTTAAGTAAAACAATGGCTCTATGCGCATTAGAGACTTTTCTATTTCGAGGAATACATCAGCCATTATTAGGGTAGTTCATAAGGAATTAAATCAGTTAAAATACAATTACTTCTGAATTACTAAAATGGATTATGCGCCAATATATGGAAGGAGTCTGTTCCGGACTCCATTTGTCTTTTGCCGAAGCTCAGACTCTGGCACAGGATCGGGAACGTTGGTAGCTCTGTCTGACGTGTCTGCCTCCGCGACCCGAAAGGAGCAGCGGTGATGGAAGATGATGATGATGGATTCTGCATCAAGACTCAAAACGTCGGAATAACGGCGAGATTTCAAATCGCGCTGAAAACCGCTTTGTTAAAAGGATGAAATTCAAAATTAATAGATTTCGCCATCATATCGTAGCTGTACAAGTGACTGCAATGAGCCTTTTGAGACGAGCTGCTGTTCACGCATCTCATCATTGCCCGGAGTTCAGAGATCCGAGAGAGCTTTGGTGGATCGCTACTACTTTTTCAGACTGATAATTCACAACCGCAGTGACCTTTACACCTCCGACGAACAGTTCCAGCAAGAAAGGCGAAACAGCTACTACTTGTTAAACCAACCAGCCGAAGATCCCGAGGAAGACCACGAATGCCCTGAGGTAAGTGTCTTAACGAACTCTTCCCTGAATTCGGGGTTGTTCCTGCTGAAACTCAGACGATGACACCGGATAGGGAAGATTGCAGACTCTGTCCTCTGCATCTGCCTCCGCGACCCGAAAGGATAAGTGGTAATAGAAGCCTGACTGACTCGCTGATTGGTTTCGCCAATATAAATAATTCAGTTTACTCAGTGAAGAAACAGCACGTAATTAGAAAATTAGCGTTAACTTAAATCTGAATCTTAAATCAGTCACATAACAACAGTGCAACCGTTGCTGATAAGAGCACTCAAGTTCAACTAACATCACGGTCTTTAGCGAACAACAATTCATTTCTTTCGCGCAGAG